GCAGGAAAGGAGTAACAAAAACATACCTCCATTAATCAGTCTTCCTCAACATGATATTCAGGTGAATTCTGAAGTAGCAGGGTATATTTCTCATATGAATAGTCCATCAAATTTCTATGCTCAGCTTGCAGAGGATGAAAACCTAACAAAACAACTAACAGAAGAATTAAATGAAAGCATGGTGAATATAGGTCATGAAAATTGGTTCCATGAACATGTGGTAGGGGATCTTATTGTAGCAGAGCATGACAGTGGTTGTTTTTGCTACAGAACAGTTATTAAAACTCTGAAATCAGGAGACTCCTTTGAGGTAGAGTTCATTGACTATGGTAATGCAGCAGTTTTAAGTCCTTCAAAAATCTACAGGATTCAGAAAAAGTTCTTAACTTTGCCATGCCTCAGTGTTGATTGTTTCCTTAGCAGAGTAAAAAGTGTTTGTGATGGAAGCTGGACTAATAAAAGTACTTCCTATTTTGTAAGTGAAATAAATAACAAGGCAGTTGCTTCCAAGTTCTTGCGGCAACATGGAGAGCGATGGGAAATAGATACAATTTGTGATGCAAAGTCTATGTCTAATGTCTTGCAGAAAAAGGGCAGGACAAGGTGGGAACACATACCAATGCATAATCAGGAAAACAGGCCAAAACAAATTCTTGTTACAAATGGTAATCCTCAAGATAGAAAGTCTAGGAATGGTTTAGGTGTTCAAAGTAAAACTAAGGCTGTTAGGATGAAAAATACTTCCAAAACACCCTTAAATGTCCTTCCTCAAGATCTAAATTCTGGACACATAGAAGGAGCAGAAGTAATTAATATTTCAGAGAGTGGAGAATTTCATGTACAGTTACATAGAAATTTGCAAATATTACATGAGTTAAATGTAATGCTTGTCAGAGAAGCACAAAGAAGTGATTTCTTTAGAGTGGATGACATTGAAGAAGGATTGGAATGCATGACAAAATCTGAAAGGAACTTGAAGTGGTATCGATCAAAAGTGATAAAGAAATTTGTCAGGGAGAAGTTAATGCTAGTTTTTTTCATGGATTATGGCAACTATGAGATGGTGTCCGTAAATAATGCAAAGATGCTCAGTGACGAGATCAAAAGTATTCCTAAACAAGCTGTGTTTTGTAAATGGATTTGGTTTAAAAAACTGAAGAAAATGCAGTTTGTCCATGTAGTAAATGCACTCCTGGATCGTGAAATAAGGATCTTGTTTTTGAGATACTTGGAATCCTCACATATCTGGGAAGTTGATATTTTAATAGGGGAAGTTCTGCTTCAGGAGTATTTGAACCGGCTCTTAAGTCATTGTGAGACTAGTGTTGGACAAGAAAAATCCAGTAATACAGACTGTAAGGAGTTTAATACATTGTTTAAGATAAAATCAATCAGATGGATGCTGCTGCAGAGTGGCAGAAGGTATCCGGGTTTTGCAACTGCAGTTACTGATCCTTCAAACTTTTGCATCCAGTTTGAACTCTTATTTGATTGCATGAAAAACTTGTCTTTGCTGCTCTCTGACCTTCCTGATAACTTGCCAGCTTTACCAAAAGAACTTGTGGCTCCTGGTGCTAGCTGCTTGATGAAGTTTGGACTGGAAGCACAGTGGAACAGGGCAGAAGTTAGTGAAGTAACAAGTCAGTCTGTTGTTCTTACATTTGTTGATTATGGCTTTCTGAAGAGCATCCCTTACTCTGATATCCATAAACTTAAAGTTATTCCAGAAAGTCTGTCTGTCTTACCACGCTTGGCACACTCTTGCTCTTTACATGATACTGTTCCTGCCAAGGGGGAATACTGGAGTGATGAAGCTAAACTTTTTTTTCAGAAGCTTCTTAGTAAACCGGGTCTGATATTTCATTTTAAACACTATGGCTCTGAAATGAAATTAGAGGTGGATGTTCTGTACGAGGAGCTCAATCTAGCTCATGCCTTAATTGCTGCTGGCCATGCAGTCTACTCTAGAAGTGGTTGCTGCCTTATTCCAGTTGGCAGAATTAAATCATCAGAAAACTGATTTGCAGCCTAAGTGTCCAAATTCTAGTTACTGTGCAGCACTGTGAAACAGATTATAATTATGATGAAAACTCTTACTTTGTGGACAGAAATAAAGCAAAGAAATGAAACAGAAAAAGTATCTGAAACATAGGACTATCTGTGATGAAGTTTCCTGTAAGGAAGTCTGGTAAAGTGGGTGCTGGAATATCATTAAGAAAAGATCTGAGTTTATATAACACTGAAAGAAAAGAAAAACTGCAAAAGATGGACAATACTGTGAAGAAATTGTTTTTTTCAGCATTGTGATGATAAGAAAAGTAAAATAGACTCCATATAGAATAAATCTGCTAGCAGAAGCACTGGTTGAGACTTCTGATTCTGATGTTCCTCAGTCTAGAAAGACAGTGAAGATAATATCAAAAGAATTATTTGAATAAGAAGTAGACTGCAGTTAGGAAAGTACTACTTCAATGCATTAAAATAAAACCAAAAGATACAGATACTGCTCTTGGTATATTTTTTTTTTCCTCCAAGATCTCTTGTTATATTTATTTAGGCAATCATGTTTTTGGCAAACCTCTCTGTCAGAACGCTTTTACAGTTTATGTGTGTATACCTATATAAATCTTTATTTGCAGTAACATCTGGTTTACAGTGGTAGTGTCTCCTTGTTTTGGATGCTCAGAAAACAAAGACGTCAAGCATATTATTCTCTTTGCTTCTAATTCCAAAGTTCCCATGTGAATGTTTTTTCTCTTGTTAGGAGAAAGTTTACTAACAATAAGCCAAAAACTTGGACCCCACTTATGTGAGAGATGCCCATTAGTTTATTTTCAGTTAGGTCTTGGTGTAAAGATGCCATTGATGTGTCTCACGGTTCTCTTGGTATCTGAGTTGCATCACAAATGGGGTCGTTCTCTCTGAGTGTGCTTGTTCCTCTGATTTCTCTCCATACTCCCCACCCATCTGTCAAAATGAAGAGAGGAAGTTTTCTCCATGCCTGCCCTTAGTCTGCATCTTGAAGGGAACCATTCGGAGCCTTTTCCTTTTTTCTTTTTCAGTAACTATTCTGAAATTTTAAGAATTTGTCAGATGTTTAAGTATTTTTTAAAATTTTTTCCCCCACTTCCTTCCTCAATTGCTTGGACAAAGATAAAGCATGAAAAGGCCTGAAGTGTGAGGGGTTTTTCTTTGTATGCCCTGTGGTTGTTTGAATTTAAATGAAAAAATGAATAAATCTGTGATGACAGATAATACAGGTAATGCATCTCTATATGCAAATAAGATCTAAGAACACTCCCCACACCTGCATATCATGATGTATTTAATTCCTGTAAAAACCTGAAAGCTTTATCTGAAAAACAGGATTTAATTTTTTTAAAGGAGAGAAACATGTCCAGGAAATTTGAATAAATAAGAGCTATGACAATGCCAGCTTATCTTTATGAAGTTTACTCTGCTGGTGAATTATTCAAAAAGCGTGCACATATTTTCAGCATACAAGTAAAAGATGTCCATTGGTAATAAATGAGAAAATGCATGAGAGAAAATTTTGTAAGTATTAGTGAAAGTATCAGAAGTGTTACGTTAATGTATTCATTAGATAAAAGGGTTTTTTTTGGTAACCATTTGTGATTGTTAACTTTTCTGTATATTGCACCATTTTATTATATTATTGCAGAATTTGAAGATTTTGCTAGTTAAAATTACAAGCTTACCTGGCATGTTCTTTGTCAATAGTTTGACATACTGCTTGCTTTTATGACAAAACACAAAGTTTGTACTGCACAACATTACTCATGTTGAGTGATAACTTTATGTTTACTTCAATGGACTACATTCGTTCTAGTGCCAGGTAATACCTAATTTTCATGTAGCAGCACTGCCACTTCAGGGTTATTTAGCTCTGATTCTAACTTGTGTCTCATTTAGTTGGAACAGCAGGTGCTTGGGTGTCTTTTCTTTTTAAAGATCATCTGGATACCCTAAATTCCAGTCCTGTTGGTGTAGTATTAATACACGACTTGCATATTTCAATTTAGAGTGCTTTTTGCTAATGTGAAGTATATTGTGCTTTAACTTGTGTGTAGCTGTAGAACACTGCTTACCTAATGTTACAAAATGGAGCCTAGAAATGATGGATGATTAAGAAAAAATGAACAGCTGTGTGTACTATTTTTGTTCTGCAAATTGCAAATGTTAGATTTATTTGCAAGAATGTGTGTTTTATTTTCAACTCCTAACGAGTCTAGCTTCTGACAGTAATTCCTTTTACGAATGCCTGATACTGAAAGTGCTTAAGGTAAAAACTAGATAAATTGAAAGTATTTTTAGTATTATGGTGCACCTGTAGATATAAAGAATGTCTTTTGTTGCCATTGTTGATACGGATTTTCAGAAGTGTGTTATAAGGTTATGATTGTTAGATGAAATTGCTGGGATATCTGGCTATGTATTTTATTTCCAATCTTCTGTCTTTGGTGGGTACTTCCCTGCCCCCAACCTCATCTGTAACAGCATTTTTCTTTTAAGTAGGAGAGGCTATACTTGTAATCTAGTTGAAGAAAGTTGTCATTTATTTAAGATTTTGAAGCTTTAGGTGTATTTTCCTATTCTTGGGCAAGCATAATTCTGAGCAAAAACAGTACTTTGATTTGGGAAATTTTAATTGGAAACTGCTGTTTATCATTTGATTGTATTTCCTAAATGTATTTCTATATTTGTTTGAACTGTGTTGTCAATTACTTGGATGATACTTATTTTTTTTTAATCCATGAAAGTGATAGAGAACTGGTTGCATTTGTTTGTAATTAAAAATTTTCTTTTGTGTACTGATGTATTCAGTTTTCTGCCTTCTTGTCATGAATAATAAAATGCTCTGGTGTGTAACTTGCCTTGCCTAAGTCATTCTGAATATTTTGAAGCTTTCTGTGACCTTTTTAGTTGGTCAGTGCATTGGAAAAAATCTGAAAGGTACATCAGTGTGTTCTTTGTGGGATGGTGTCAGGGAACAGTCCTTGCCCTGCAGCCCAGCAGCTGCGGAGTGGATTGTAACTACTTGCACTGAGTCAAGGTTTGCTTTTGAATGCTGTACAAATGGCACAGGCGTTCTGCCTGCTTACTTGTACAGCTTTCTATATGAGATGCATGCCACGCTCAACCTTAATCTGCTTTATACTGGTCAGGTGTACTCTCACTGGCACACTCTATAAAGGCAGACAGGCTTTATATGCCAGATAGGCACATTGTTATGATACCATTACTTAAATTTTTTTTAGATTTGTATGCAGTTACTTTGAGAAACATTTTGTGTTATTTAAAGGTGGGCATTGGTGAACATTGAAAGTGTATTAAAAAAATTCAGTTGTTTTTCTAATGTTCTGGCATTTTATGATGTTCCTTAAAGTTTACATGATATTGAAAAGTGGGGAAGGATGTGTGTGTGTCACTTTCTCTGTTTTGTTTTCCCAAGGGAGCTTTAAGATAGTGTAGCTGTACAATCAGATGCATGAGTTTTAGTAACTTACAATGCAGTGTTGCTCCTTAGAGGAAGAGTACTACTTGCTGATTTTGCTGATCCTTTCTGGCTGATCTAGGAGTAACCCTATACTATTTCCAGATGGAAATGTGTTTGCATCTCAGCCAGCAGAAGTAGTGGGCCTGAGAGAAGGAGATTTGAGATCGTTAAGGATTCATGTAGGAAGAGAGGCAGAGAATGAAAAGGTTTCACTGGAGATACGGGATGGGTGGTTCAGGAGTTTTGAAACGGCTGACTAGTTGTTGAATGTTTGTATGGGCCAGGAAGCGTAGAAGTTTTGACTTTCAGGCAGAAGTTTAGATTTCAGTGCTAACACAGTGTGTGAAGATTTTTAAAGTTTGCAGTAAAATTATAGGAAACTAAGTATGAGTGTAGAGCATGAAGAAGAGCTCTTAAAAACTAACAAATGATCATCTATTCCATAAAAACAAACTTAAGGATGAAAAGAGCCTCTATTATTGCTTTTAGTTGACCACAGAGGATTGTATATATATGCTTGGATGTGCTTTGTTAGCTGCAGACCAAAGTCTGGAGGTAAGCTTCACCACTGTCTGTAGGCAACTTCTACAGTGGGAATGGTGCTTGAACAAGGTATAATAACCTACCTTATTCCTTTTTTTTTTTTCGCCCCCCTCCCCCTGAACCTGCTTCTTTTGCTGCCCCTGTGCTCGCTTGTTTTGCCCACATTCCTCCCAAATAAACAACCCATCCCAAATGACTTTTTCTTCATTGGTCCTACATACCTACCTAGATTTGGTACTTCTGACTGTTACCTAAGCAGTCTGGGCCCTATATGGTATTACTGTACAGTTACCTAGGTGTCACCAGCCTTGTACCCCAAAACTGCCTTCTGGTTATTTGGTTCATGCTGCTTATGGTTCATTTACTTTATATACTTCCTAGTGAAAATTATCTGACTTGGTCTTTACTCTTCTACCTAACTCTGATTAAGCACAAGCAGCATCTTACATGCAGTTTTAATATCAGAGCAACAGAATAACATGATTTGTGCTAACATGGTACCTTCACCCCTTCATCACCCTCCCAGTTCCCATTAAAGGCCTTGGCTAATTAAGAGGCTTACTGCTCCAGCAGGACCTTTTGCTCATACCTGGTGATCCAGGTGGCATTCTTAGCCCTGATGATGGAGAGAAGAGGCTGGGGGAGGAACAAATTGGTCCTGTGGATTAATACCTGGTTATGCACCTGACATTACCAGGAATTGTTTTTATGACAGTAGGATCCTCTTTGAGAATTGAGAACTACTGGGCAGAGACAGGATCCTCCTGACAAAGTGAGGAAAGAGCATCTATGCCAGCAAGCTGGCTGATGTGATGTGGAAAGCTTTAAACCAGGAATAATGAGGATGGGGAGTGTGACTCACAGTTAAGTGAAGAAATGATGGATGAGGTGGAAAGAAAAGTGTGCAGTGTGATAGGAACAAGAGAGACCTCAGGGATACTAAAGCAATAGAAGGGAGG